CTTCACCAGAGACAGAGTGGGGAACAGAACAGGCAGATTGACGGAGTACACTGCTGAGGGGAGCAGCGGGAGGGTCAGGAGAGGTCTGCCACGCCATGTAGTCACCTCCGGGGCAGGCGGGAATCGAACTCATGAGGAAGCGGCTTTAGATTCTCAGCAGTACAGCACTTTTTTTAAACAACAAAACTATACTTCAAGTGTTTAAGTAATTTCGTCAGAATTTTGTTAATTCTCTGATTCTTAAGAGAAACTGGTATGAGTTCGTTTATATCATTTGTTTTTGTATATTCCCAGAAAAATTCAGAGGCTTCAGAATAACATTTGTTAACAGATAGCTGTTCCCAGTGTATTTTTTATGCTTCTGGGGGTCCCACTTACAGTTCTGGCTCTTAGCTTACTTTACCTACTGGACTGCACTCTCCTATACTTTAAAATATAGATCAAGAGCCCACTTCATACACATTTAGGAAAACAGAAGAAAATGATCACAATCAATGAGATGAAGTCCTGCTGTAATATTATTTTTCATGTATTATCCTGTGTGCTTTGTTTTTCAGGGGTGAAAAGCACCTATATCTGAGCTTATTTGTTTACTAGAACTCTGGCCTAAGCTGCACCAAGCTAAAATCTAGGCTATTTTATTTTTTCCACATTTTTAGTTTTATATTAGACATTGAGGCCAACATTCTTCCTTTTGTATATTTAAAATTACTGTGATTTTACCTGTTAGCAAAGTCATTCTAAACACCAACCATTCTCTTATTAGTCTACTGAGTGGAATAAAAATTTAAAGAACACTATAATTATAAAGATCTAAATAAAAGTTACACAAATAAGATGTTATGCTAGTGACAGTACTAGATATAACTTTATACTTTGTACAGCATTTAGAATCATTTAATAAATAGGTATATTCTGTTGCAGTCTGGGAAGATGAAAAGATTTTTAGAAATGAATGATGGTGATGGTTATATACTGTAAATGTACTTAATGCAATTGAACTGTACATTTAAAAGTGTTTAAATGGTAACTTCTATGTAAATATATTTTACCACCTAAAAATAATAAAGTATTTTTAAAATGTTATATAAAATTCACTTTTAATTTGTGGCACTCTTAAAACACTCATCTAGTAATAAACACTTTTCAGAAACACAAGCTGTTTTCTAAATTGTTTGACCTCCCCTACTACATGGCCTACTGGAGAAAAGCACATAAAGTGCTTTTTAAAAGTAAGTTATTTAGTCAGTGATACCGATTCTTGCTTACAAAGGTATCATCCAAAACAACTTTTTAAGTCTTCCTAATTGTGAATAATAGTAACTCAATTGCTGCCTCTAAAATTGGAAATTTATTTAACATATGACTGCACAAAGCTGAAATCTCAAGGCTGAGGTTATTTCAGTAATTGTACAATTGTCAGAACCAGGCTGTTAAGTGCCATTACTGTAGGCAATATGTTTGGAATAAATAATCTTGCGCTTAAGAAAGTTTATCAAAAAAATAGAAACTGATACAACTGGGATATGAAGAACAAAACTGCCATAACAGGGTTTAATGACAGGACAGGAACTCAGTGTATTTTGGAAAATCCAGTCTTGAATCTTATGTAAATAAGGTGTTTGGTCTCCTCTAATTTCCAGGTTAATTTTAGTTTGGCACCCAAACCTACTGATTGACTCTAATGTCACAGAGATAATTCTAGGACAGCCAGGATTGGGAAATCTTAAAACTGGAAGTCATTAGCAAATGTGAATATTTCAAGTCATGAGTCTAGATGAAAATAACCGTTGGAAACAAGATTTACCGTTTTAAAGGCAGAGTGCAGTTTTTCATAGCTACCCAACAAGGAATATCCTATTTCTTAAGGTTCCCCAGGCTTAATTTTGTCAAAGAGATTTGGCAAGGTATTCAATACTCGACCTAATTACATTTCCTCGAGTCTGACTTGCGTTTTTTATTACTATAATTAATTTTGTTAACGGTTTAAAATAAAAATCTTTCCTCCATTTTTGATCTCCCCTGGAAAAAACGGCTATTAAATTGATTGATCCATTTTACAATTGAGGAAAAAAAAAAACGCAACAGCTACAGGTGATTTTAGCTCCAGCTCCAGGGTAAAAGCTTTATAGCTTAAACTTCTCTTGCAAGGTGCTTTTCCAGGTACTACTATCCTATTGGTCATCGCAAGTTGGTGGAGTAATGGGGGGAGAGCTACCCTCCCCCCTTTTCTTTCATAAAAGGGAATAGGCACAAGAAGGATCGAGAGGTTTGTCTTTTAAGTCTGCAGCACGATCATAACCCAGAACGATATTCCTGCATCCAATCCCAAGAGTTCGAACCTCTCAAGGTCAGATATACGCCCCGTTGGAGAACAAGAGACAGTACAGAGACCCCCATGGAAGGCCTCACCCAGTTTTAAGTCCCCAAAGTCACCGCCCATAACATATTCTTGCCCCAACCGCCTGCATCTGGCTGTGGTCGCTTACGGGTAGTTCGCATCCACTCGAGCAGCGCTGGGAGGTGGGCCGGAGCCACCGTACGGAGCAACTGCATTACCGCTTGCCGTGCCGCGCAGAATTCCATGTTGGTACCGAAACTACGCCGAGAAAAGCTCGCATTGCGCACGCGCAGGTAGAGTTGGGCCGGACCCACGGTAGAACCCCGCCTCCCTTGGCAGCGGAAGCCCCAGGCCCCGCCCCTTTGGAGAGCTCTCACGTGCGCCCGAGAACCCTCTCACAACCTATTGCTGCCCACTCCCCCATCTCTCATTATTCGCCTTTCAACTGGGTCCTCCAACTTGTCATCCCTTCTTCAGGTGCCTCCTGGAAGCCGGACTTCTCTCCTGAGGTGGCATTCCTAGAAAGCCTTCTATTTTACCATTGACGTTGCTGCCGCTGTTATCTGACGACTGAAAACAAATAGTAAAATCGGGTCTAAGCAAAGAAACAACACAATAAAGCTGGTGGAAGCGCTGAGGAACGCGGCCGGTGCCCCGGAAGCGGAAGTGCGCCCTCTTCGTGAAAGGCTGGACTCTACTGAGTGGTGACGTTTCCTCATTGGGCGGAAGGTTCGGTGGCAGTCGTCGGTCTTCCAGCTGGTGGGAGTTGGCGTCGCGGTGCTGGGCGCTGGGACCCTACTTTATATAGTTCAGGAAGCGGGGCCGCTGTTCAGCTGTGGCGTCGCGCCTGTCGGTCTGATCCCGGCTCTCCTCGGTTTTCGCCCGCGGCGTGGGGCTTGGCGAGGGAATCCCCGGCCCCTTTGGGCCACGGCGGTAGCGGTGCCTTTTGAGGTAAGAGTCTGTTTTTTCCTGACCGGACCACGAACTGGCAGCCACGGGCAGCCCCAAGCCTGCTAAGGGGTATAGGGACTCTGGTGGGAGCGGACTCTCCTGGCCACAGGCTGTCACCGAAATTGAGGTCCTCTGACCCTTTTTCATCTCGTGTCCTCCTCCAGAAGTTTTGTTAAAAGATGCAGCTTGGCCCTCCCTGGTGGCGCAGCGGGTTAAAGCACTGCACTAAGAAGCTAAAGCCACTTCCGCATGAGTTCAATTCCCGCTTGCCCCGGAGGTGACCACATAGCGCGGCAGACCTCTCCTGACCCACCCGCTGCTCCCCTCAGCAGTGTACTTCGTCGGTCTGCCTGTTCTGCTCCCCACTCTGTCTCTGGTGAAGCCTCTCACCGCCCCTGAGCCTCTGGCGTGTACCCCAGTTCTGTCTGCACAAATAAATAAATCTTAAAAAAAAAAAAAAGATGCAGTGTTGCCTTTTAAGTTGCCTTCAGATTTATCGGAACCAAATTAGATACAGGCAGTTGCAGGCCTGACTGCTTTGCTCTTTTGATTAAGAATTTAGATGTTATTGCTTGCCCCGAAAATATTTTGATGTGTACCAGATTTTATTTCTCCGTGTTCATAGTGCTGAACACATTGTCCTGCATATCCTGGGCGTTCAGTCCAAAATCAATTCAATGCCAATGATGATAGTTAAGCTATACTGATGGCTTTCTCCGGAGCATTTGACTCTTACTGACCATTTCTTTAAAGTCTTTCTTGTATTGGCTTACTTGATGCTATGGAACCTACTTCATAATTCTACAAAGTATTTACACTCTTAACTATAGGAATACAGAAGTGAATGATAAAAACCTTATTGTTGACGAGTTAACAGTAGAGTGAGAGAGGCACACAAATATACATTATATCAAGATGAGTAACCATAAACTCTAGTAAAAGTTTAAAGGGTTGAGAGCTGTGGGAACAAAGGTGAGTTCTTGTTCCTTAGGAGATTTCTAACTCTGAGCAAATTGTTAGTCCATTCTAGCCTCAGTTACCTAGTAAGTTTATTATGATCATAAGAATAAGGTATAGTGTTTGACATAGTACTTGGTATATAGCAATGGTGATGCCATAGGGGAGGAGAAATATTTTCCTCAAATCTCTTTCCCTTCATTTTTAATACAACCAATTAGTATTATCTAAGCTAGTACAAGGTACTATGCAAATATCTTCAAACTCTCCTTCCAAACAGGTTACCCCTTTAACTCCACCTAGCTGGAAAATCTGCCCCTACCTCTGGGATGTAGTAGATAACCATAAACAGCTTTTTTTTTTCTTTTAATGGTTCTCTACATGCCTGATTTCCATCCTTGTATGCCCCTTTTTCTTTGGACTTTGTCTTATGAATTATATAGTTCTTTAATTTTCTGCAAATTCATTAGGCTCAAAGCCAAATTTTCTGTCTTCACCATCCTTTTTTCTATTATTACATATAATAAAATACATGTAAAGGTATATAAAAGCAGTGGTTCCCAGTGTATTTTGAGTATTGACCCATTTGTTTCTAGTTGTATTTTATAGGTTCAATTATAAAAGGATAACAACACAACAATATGCTCATCCAACTTTACAAATAACCTTCAGGTCCTCTTCAACCTTTTCTCTATTAACTCCTTAACTTTCAAGTCAGCTTTCCTTTTTGGTTTCTGTTTATTGGCTAACAGCATGGTTTTTCATATTAGAGTCCTCAGTGGCATTTTGCCTTCTGTTTTTTGTTAATTTTTCACAACCATTTTATAACGAGGTATGATATATTCTGCTTTAAGGGTTAACCCTTGGCTTGAGAACTTGAGCCCCTTCTATCCAGTTTGTTTTCTGCTTCCTTACTTCAAGCCCATATCACTAGACTAGATTTTTGGAGTATAATTTATGTTTATGTTTTTCTTGCCATCAGGTTTTTCCACCATCCAATGTGTTTGCTACATTGTCTCAAACTTTTAAAATGTAAAAAAGAAATTTATTCCTTTGTTTTCTTTGAGGAGTATTACTTTATGTAGTGATTATAACCTTGGCTGCACACCAATATAACCCGTTAAGTTCCCTAAAATATAAGTAATTTTTTTGTCCTTATCAGAAATTTGGATAAAGCTACTGCTCCCCCCACCCCAGACCTTTTGATGTTACTTGCCCCTGGAGATTTTGATTATTTAATTTTTTGACTATAGGTATTAGCTAAATGTTATTTAAGTAATTTAAGCATATGCCTCTTATCCCTCTGTTTCCATATTTTCAGACTATGTTCTTTTCAACTTCAGGGCAGATTAATTCAAAGGAAATATTTTGATTTTGTTTTAATTTTCTCCTTGGTGACAAGTTTACATCGGATACTTTTGTGATTGAGCTGACGTTAAAAAGTAAGGATTTCTAGTATTTTTGAGTTATTAACGTTCTTGCTAATGGAACATGTAACATATGCCCCCCTTTTTTTCCCCTGGTGAACTATGAGATGTGGTAGTAGTTTTATTTATAATATGAAAATAAGTTTAAACTTTGAAAGCAATTGCTTTTTAAAAGATTTATTTGATTTTACTTATACATATACGAGCTGGAGATAGGTCAGAGATGTAGGGGGTGAGAGGACTCATCAGAAATAGAATGGGGAGCAAAACAGGTGGACCTACTGAAATACATTGCTGAGGGGAGCAGCAGGCAAGACAGGAGAGGTCTTGCCATGTGAGTTATCTCCTTGCCTGGAGATTGAACTTACGCCACAGAGGCTGGAGATGGTTTGATAGTTCTGAGACTTTAACTCTTACACCTCCAAGGATGCCACCCACAACAGAATTATTTTAATGAAAAGAGAATTTCCCAATACTTGTGACATATTGAATGATATCTTTGATGCAATACTAAGTCTTAGAAGTTGATGGTCTGATGCATAATTTATACTCAGAAGTTAATAGGGCAGTCTTAATGTGCATTAAATCGATATGATTTATTGGTTTGGATTAGAACTTTTCTGAGGCTGGGACATTTTCTAAAGTACTGGGTTGGTATTTAATGAATGAATAACTAGATAAATACAAGTGGCAACTTCATTTTAACCTCTAGTATTATATCACAAGGAGTGTGTGAAAATACTTGATTTTCATTTTGACCTGTGGGGAGTAGGGGGAGGGTGGTAGTCTCAGTCACTCCTAAAAAAATTGGAAATTATAAAAAGATGTAAAAAACAAATTGAAAATTACTGTGTATTACCTATCTAGTGATGACAAATGTTCCTTTCCAATAATTTTATTGAAATAAAATTCATATACCATAAATTCACTTAAAGTGGGCAATTCTGTTGGTTTTAGTGTAGTTAAAGAGTTGTGCATCTATCACAATCAATTTTAGAACATTTTTATCACTCCTTGAAGCAATCCCATACCCATTAACAGTCACTTATTTTTCCCTAAGACCTAAGGAACTATTAATACATTTTCTGTCTTTATAGATTTGCCTTTTCTGAGCATTTCATATAGTATGTGGTTTTTTGTCACTGGTTTCATTCATTCACTTATCATAGTATTTTCAAGATTTACATGCATCACTACTTAATTTCTTTTTATATCCAGTTATTAGTTGAGGTTGTTCTCACTATTTAGCTTGTGTGAGTAATGTCAAATTATTCATGTATGTGTTTTCATGTGAATGTGTGTCTTTTCTGATGTACACAGGAGTAGAATTGCTTGATTATATAGCAACTATGTTTAATATTTTGAGGAATTGCTGAACTGTTTCAAGAGACTGCATCATTTACATTCCAACCAGCAGTGGGTGAGGGTTCTCATTTCCATACATTCCCATCAACATTTGTTATTACCTGTCGTTTTGACAGATTTACATTTTTTGACACTTCACATTTAGGTAAAGTGGTATCCGACTGAACCTTTTATTTATATTTTTCTGGTGGCTAATGTCATTTTTGGGGTTTTTCTTTGTAGAAAAATGTGAATTATACAACATATGCAGTTTGTAATTTTTCTGTATTCAAACTTTTTAGCATTAACAAGCATATTTATTTATTTTTAAAATTTTCTGTTTTATATATAGATATTTTGCATCATTCTTTAATTTGTACATTTTTTTCGGCTCGGTTACAACCCCTGTGGACTTCCCACCACTGTTCACCTATGTACTATCACCTTAGTCCCTTGTGCTCTTCCCACCCCAGTTTTGATCCTGTTATCCTCACCACCACTGTAGAATGAATGTCTCTGGTTTATAGCTTGTTGATTTTCGTTTTTACTTTATTACAATTGTAATAAGCATGTTTATAAGAGAATTTCCATTTCTGCTTACTTGTTTACTTCCCTCAAAATCATAATTCTTGTGAAACCTTTTCTACACTATATGTATAAAAAATAAAATCTGTAGGAATATATGTATATGAAATTACTCTTAAGGATTGTTAAGGAACAAGTGGGGGCAGATAAATTTTATTTTCCATCTTCAATTTTTCTGTAATGTTTGAATTTTTACATTAAACATACATCCTCTTGCAGTTATACAGCATACAGGTGATTTATTTACTTGGAGAACTAAGCAGACTCAGAAAGAAAAGACAGCCTAAACTTAAAATTAACATAGCTGTGTTACTTATTCAAATATAATACTTTTATTATATAGAAATACCTGTAGACTACTTTGCTAAATATATTTTCCTATGGTCCCAGACTACAAATACACATGCTATATAGAACTTAAAATATATATATACATATTACTTAGTATTATTACCAGGTTATCAAGAATTGGTGATGGGCTAGTGATTAGTTAATAAAAAAGTATGTAATATAGAAGTAATTTTTCTAAAGATATTTACTCAGTGCAGTACATTTAGTTCTTTAATATTGATCCAGTAAGTTAGTTGCTGAGTATGGCTTTGATTTTGTTATAATGGGATTTGAAATCTGTAATCATTTGCATCTGTTTATATAACCTCAAATCAGGCAAAGTTCCTGAAGGAATATTTATAACTTCTTATGTACAGAAAAGTCACTATTTGAACACTCTGGCTTCTGTTGAATAATAACCAGTTAGTTGCCTTTAAATGTTAAAGATTTTAGGGGCTGTTCCTGGGCAATGGGACAGACACTTTAGCAGAAAACTTCAGAAATTTTCCATTATATGTACACTGAAGAAAATGTCCAATATATTCACACTTCATTCAGACAATACTATAGGGAGAGCCAGTTGTTGTTACTCATGTAAGGGAAAAAGGTGAACAGTTAATTTGTTAGGCACTTGATGACGGATAACACTTATTGTCTCATTTAATCCTCACAACATCCCTTCAGGGTAATTTCTTTGATAATGGTATTATCTCCATTTTGCAGGTAAGGAAAGTGAGGCTCAGAGAGATTAAGTAACATGCCCAAAGTAACACAGCCAGTATGTAACAGAGCTGGGATTTGAATCCAAGTCTGTCAGACTCCAAAACCCATGCTCTTTCCAGTACCTCACACTACAGCAGGTAAGTATGCTACTTGGCCCATGCTTGCTTTTTTTAGGGCAGCCAAACACGAGCCTGTTTTCATCTCCTCACTGTCCAACTATACCTGTTAGAAGAACATATGTTCAGGTCTTGTACATCCTGGTTGCAGTTGTTCTTTATTGATTCTTTCTGCACATCGTAGTTAGTTATTCTTACCTGAAGAGGAATGTACACCTTTGCTTTCAAAATGATTTCTTGTAATGTAGGAGCAAAATTTGTTCCTAGTGTTTGCCAACAGAAATACTCAACTCTTGTTTAAGGTAGTCATACTCTTGCACCAAAGGCTGTATAGCCAAGGGACTGTGGGAAATCATTTTGCATTTTTATTCTATTCCTCGGCCTTTTTATATCATGAAATTGTTGTGAGGGTGAAATGAGATAATAGATGTTAGATTGTGTGAAGTGCTATATACTAATCCTTTATACAGCCCCCCTACAGAGATTCCCTTTTTGTGAAATTTGAGTATACACAGATATACCTCTATAAATCTTCTTAGTCAGCTAAAAGAATTATCAGTATGCTTGAATTGTTAATTATGCCAGTGTGAGATACAGTGTTGCCTATTAAACATTGAAATAAGTTTTTTGTATTTTAGTGTGCATATTGGAATAAGATGAAGTTATTTTTTAAGAATTGTTGGAATTGTTTTCTGAGAGAATTCTGAAAAGTTATAATAAGTAATGGCAAATGAGTATGAATTTAACAATGTCAATTACCTAGGTCATTGATTTTCTTCTTCTTGCATTATTTCCACTGTTTTGGTTTGGGGTCTTAAGGGAATATATGTAAGGCTGCTCATGACTTTGCTCCTCAGTCTTATGTTTTCTTTACGGTCTTAAATACATCATTAATTCATGCAGGCTTACTAAATATACAACTGAAGTATATGTAATGAGTCCATTGGAGAGTGCAAAAGAGGCAGAAATTCTTGCCATCATGTTCCATACATTACATTTGAAGTATAGAGACCATGAACAAGATATGTAAATGATCAGTATTTGGTAATAGAAAAGGAAGGGGGTTTACAGTTTCAAACGTGATCAGGGAAGACCTCATTGAGAAATGGCATTTGTCCAACTATGTGAAGGAGATGAGAGAGGGAACTATGCTGTTAGCAGAGAAAAGAGCCTGCCAGTTAGTAAATAGTAAAGGCAAGTCTTGAGGTAGAAATGTGTTGTATAAGCACCAAAAGATCAGCAAAGAGATCAGTGTGGTGAGTGGGGAGAGAAGAGAGGAGTAGAAGGAAGGGTTGGAGGGAGAAGGAAAGAGAAGTGGGGTGGGGAGGAGAGAGAATGAGAAAGAGAGAATATTAATTTTGGAGTCCCTTACAGTCCAGATTTGAGAACTAGAGATTTTGAACAAAATTCTAATGCCAGTTTTTTCCTTGAAATTTCGGAGGAAGCACTGTATAAATAAAAAGTATTATTAGATACTATTCCACTACTAAAATGAAAATTTTAAAAATATGCTGCAAAAAAGTACTTATATAAGTTTAGTATATTGGAAATCATCACAAAGGTTTTTTCATAACAGCCAGTAAACGTGGGGAGATAGGTTTATTTTTAAGAGTTAAGTAATATAACTTTTTAAAAAGAGGATGATTATGACATGATCTCTAAAAAAGTTTATTGTGGTGTCATAATTAGGATTATATTGCTACTGGTAACATTGGTAAAGGAGGTAAACTGAAACATCTGAATTTTATATCTTACTTTAGAAATATTTACTTAAGCTATAATAATTTAATATGATGTATATGGGTTAAGAAATACATTCTGCATCTTTTCTATGAAGTAGTTGTTTTCAAGGAAAATGACCATGTAATCACAAAAATTTAACGGTAAGCACATCCCCCCCCCCAACACTATGAAGTGCTATTAGTAGTTTTTTAGGTTGTAAATGATGAAATTTTATTTAAATGGACACATAGTGTTTAATATACTGCTCAATCTGGAGTATCTTTGCCAGGGCTAAGCTATATTCCCCTCCTATTTCTTTGACTGCCCTCACCTGTTCACTTAACCTACATTTGGTCCTCCTTCTTTAAGATTATTTTTTTATGCTTACAGAACTGGGGTACAGGCCAGAGGTGTGGTAGGTGAGAGAATTCACCAGAGACAGAGTGGGGAGCAGAACAGGCAGATCTACTGAAATACACTGTTAAGGGGAGCAGTGGGCGAGTCAGGAGAGGT